TGCTTCTCGATGAACTGTGAACCAAAGGTTTACACTTTTTATATGTGAGAATCATTAGGATTAATGAAATCGAATCAATTTTATCGAAGACATGAAGACCAAGATGGTTTGGCCCTCGGTATGGCCGCAGTCTCCTTTCGATTTATAAAAGTGGGTTGACCTCGTTATCGTAACTTGGACTTGTTGTCAGGGCGACTTAGTAGAACACACCTAGTCCGAAGTCGTCTGCCATAGTACTTGTCATGAGACAAGTCTCTTTGATGAGTTCGTGTCTTGGTGTGGAGAATGGCAAAGCTCACTGATGATGCCGACTACGATGCCGGAGAATCGTTTGAGAATGTATCAAGTCCATTGTCAGATGCTGGGAATCATGACAACTACAATGGCTGACGACTTCGGACTAGGTGCATGCTACATAGTCTCCTTGACAACAAGACAAAGATTTACATTTTTTGTATGTGAGACTCATTAGGATTAACGAAATCGAATCACTTTTATCGAAGACATAGGGACTAAGATGGTGTGGCCCCGCAACAAACTACGAACTCACTAATGATGCCGGCGAAACGTCTGAGAATGTACCAAGTCTGATGCTGAGAATTATGATAACTACTATGGCAAAGGACTTCGGACTAGGTATGTTCTACTACGTCGCCATGACAGCAAGTCCAAGTTACGAAAACGAGGTCAAACCACCTTTATAAATCGAAAGGAGACTGCGGCCATATCGAGGGCCAAACCATCTTGGTCTTCATGTCATCGATAAAAGTGATTCGATTTCGTTAATCCTAATGAGTCTCACATATAAAAATGTAAATCTTTGGTTCACAGTTAATCGAAAAGCAGTCGCGGTGTATCGGATTTTAAAATTATGTTATTGTCCATGACAAGATACCATCTTTTTCTGGCAAGAAGCTTACCAGTTCCTCCAACTGAAATCACTTCGGTCTCAAATAGGGATACACCATTCAAATACCAAGAAACAGCACTACGAGGTGTCACCTCATCCTACCATCTGCCTCGGTTTCCAACCAAGAGGACCACCCGACACGGCATGAGGCCGAATGTGAGTATGGACCTTTGAAGTACGGGATGAAGGTGAATTCATAAGCACACATACCTTATTCCCCTTTAAATATTTCGGTCAGCTCAACTTTCACCCTTGCCTGTGCATTTTTCAGCCGAAAGCGCATCTTTATTCTTGCGTGTTTAGATCAATTTTCCAATTTCTCTTACTTTACAGCGCATTGAAAGAGATCTCATTCAATTGCAACCTGACGTTGACGAGCTACTTCGCAGAGGAGAGCTCATTTGTGTCTCCAAGATTGACCTTACCCTATCAACGACGGCACATGATCTTTCCATCCGTTTTGCTAAGATGCAAGACGAGGTGAAGGTACGAAAGCACCATTGCTTTTACACTTGTATCATTAAATATTCATTTTTTATTCTAGTTCCCAACTTATAATGTCATCACAATCTTCTTCTAGATTCGATGGTCGATGCTCATTCGATAGCAGCATCAGCTCAATTATGGATTGTAGATATGCAGATCGAGTAGGTGTTGCTTTAGGTCTGAAGACTGTTCCCTTTATTTTAATGTAACTAGTTGGATATGGATTTAGAAGAACACCCTCCTCTTTGGCCCTAGTTCCACCATAGCCATGATCACACTCAGAACAAGGTACATTTCCAGGCAGAAAATCATTTCAATTTGGTTGTGTAGTCAGAGCGATTTAGTTGGACAAAGCTTGTTCATAGTCCTTTCCTAAAGTAGTTATCATAATTCCCAGTTTCCAACCGTGTACTTGGTGCACTTAGGCGTTTTGCCGGCCTCTTTGTCGGCATTAACAGTAAGTTTTGCCATTATCAACACCAAGCTACAGCTCGTGAAAGAGACAAGTGAAGTTGTGATATCACTCCTCTTTCTGTCCTGGCCCATCTTTCTACTCCTCACCTACTTATCACACTTGAGATGAAATTCAATTGAAACTATCAGCTCTACTTATATGATTGTGGGAAAATTGAACTACCAGTCCTTGATCATCTCAAACGAAATAGGGTAAACATAACTCATGTATCTCTTATTCAGGATCCATTGCTAGCATCGAAACCCAATGATTATTAATATATTATTGATTATTGATTATGGTATGCCAAACCACAAACGTTGTGGCTCAACATTAGACCTAATCAAAGCAAGCACTACCACAACATTTGTGGTACCAAATCATAGGTTTTTCCAGAGACGTGGTCAATGTTGCAAAAGTGTGACAAC